AGAAAACTGCTTGCCTTAATGATTTGAAGAGCTAGAAAAGCAGCCCATACGACTATCAGGGCCATTAGCTTCTCCCAACGTAGATTGAACAGAAAAATTTGCTGCATGTTTTGTTGGAAAGAATTTTCGACATTAAAAAAAGTAAATTATTAAAAGGAAAAAGAGAACATTAAAGTCAACAATATTCACCATTGGTGTTTTCTCTTCTTTAGGAATCAGTGGCTCGTATGTGTCAATAAGCACTAAGAAGAAAAGAACACAAGTTACAGAAAAGCTCTCCAAGTTCAAAAAGTTTCACTTTTGATCCAAAAAGATTCATGAAACTTACGTTCACCACGAGAATTTACAGTTGGCTCACGTGGTCTTTCCATTTCTTTCTGCCATAATATCAAAAAAAATATTAATCATAAGATTAAGATCATACTTTTTGGCTTTTTATTTCAAGATGTTATATGTCATATATATAATCATTTCCACCTTCATTATTGTCTCTTCCTTCCACATCTCTATAGCTTTTAAGAAAGACCTTGAAGATGTGCCTATCAACAAGGGAAAAGAACTTGATGAAAAAGAGTTCTTGATAGAAGTGAATGAATAATTGCTAAACTACTAAGAACTATACTTAGAATATACCATGAAGATTTAATAGATATTGATGTTTAGAATAAACCCATAAATCAAAACTGAACTTTTAATGATAATTGATGTGGGTAGGAGTAGGGGTTACCTGAGAATAGGAGTATGGTAAGAATAGTGATGAGCCAATAGGGAAAAACAACACTAAGAGCAACACCAAGAGTGATTCCAAGCATAAGCATAGGCTGAAATAAGAGTGCTAAATCATAATCTAGAATTGGTACTTCTCTGCATGGATGTGGTACTCTTAGGTTATACCAAACTGATGATGCTGATGCCCCCATTATCATACCTTCAATTACAAACTCAAAACAAATTCAAACTTTCTGTACCCAAATAGAAAGACATCATTCCAAATATGAGTAGAAACTTTAAGAATCACATTTTGTGAAATGAAACGTAATCCCCTCTTAGAAAACTCAAGAAACATTGTAGGTTTGAATCCATTACTTAGACAAGAATCCGAAAAGAGAGAGTGAAAACGCGTACACTTAGAAAGAGCAGCGGAAGACTTGGTATCAAATCCAACGATTAGAGTAAGCATGGGAACAAAAATGCCGCCACCACCAACACCACCGACTGTTCCAAATGCAGAACCCAAGAACCCTATTATCGTTGCCATCACAATTCTCCAATTCAACTCCAATTTCTGAATCAAAACATTAAAGATGAAAAACCCATTCGGTTATAGAATCAAAAGCGTCAACGATCATAAATGCGGGACTTACAGGCCAGATTCTGTCGTCGGACTTGGAAATGAGGGAATTCGGGGGAGAAGGAGAAGGAAGAAAAGGGTGGCGGTTATTGTGATTGTAATGGTGGGTGATGATGTAAATTGAAAGGGAAATGACGGAAAAAACGGCTAAAAGAGAGAAAATAAACCCTCGTTCCATTGATGCTGTGTTATTGCTATCTCTGAGTGTTTGTGTCTTTGATTTCTCTTTGTTTGTTGTTGGTGACCTAATCTTGGCACCTGGACCAGAGGGTCATTGCGAAACTGTGTGGGCGTGTAAGCTTTCATGAAATGGCGTCAATTTATGGAGGCGACGATGAAAGAGGAAGGGCGGTGTCTCACGTGAGGTTCAACATGGAAAAATAAAGTGATAACTATGTAAAACATTAATATATATATATATATATATATATATATATATATATATATATATATATATATATATATATATATATATATATATATATATATATATATATAGGGAGATGATCAAATGAGAACACCTAAAAGGTTGAAAACGCGATAACAGTTGTAGACCAATCATTTTTAAAGGGCATAAATGGAATTTTACCATCTAATTAAATTATAATTTCCTAAATTTTAGTGATTATGATGACAATTACCCAAAATATCTCATTTTTTAGATCCTATTCTTTTAATGAACCAATAATTAATAAAATAATGATTTAATTTTTATCTAAAAAAACGTTTTTTTTTTCATTTCATTTTTCATTTTTATGTTTCGTTTTTAGCAAATCAAATATCAAGAGAATGAATAATTTATCAGTTTACCTCATTTATTTAAAAAAATATATATATCTTCATAAATAATGATTTATACATTTCATTTTAAAATGATTAAAATTGTAAATTATAAATGAATTAACTCAGATGTATTTATGAATACACTTGTAAAAACATAAATGAATAAAACCCGAAAAAAAAGATTATACAATCAGCTAAAATGATATTCATATATAAATAAATAAAACACATTTCTATTCATAAAAGAATATAATTATAATAGTAAATGAATAAGTTACAATATATTTTTTTTGATACGGAACCTAGTACTACAATTACAGTCATAAATGAATAAAACATCTTTGCGCTCCTTCTAAAATCTATTGGTGTCGGTATTTCATTTGGTAAATCTCTCACCTCCCACTATATGCATGTTTATTCATTGGATCTACAAAAATGTTAAAGAAACAATTATGTATAATTAAATAGTCATTCGCACATGAATACACTGATATTCACAAATGAATACAGTCTATTCATAAATAAATACAAAATAAAAATAGTGTAAAAATTATCATTTCTTATTCTTTGTTCCTTGCCAAGAATAACCACCAGGATGGGGTTGTGTTTCCGGTGAAATCAAAAGGGGCAACCGCCTCTTGGCTTTTTCCCCTCACCTGCATTGCCATGGCTGCTTTCCTTGCTCTTCTCGAACTAGCCTTATGGAGTATTCATTGATGATTAACTGCAAATGAGACATCTGACATTGTATTCATATAAGATTACAACTAAAACATAAAGGGTATGTGACTTGTAACAACTTACTGAGTGTAAAAGAAAAGTACATCGGGTCCAACAGTTATCAGATTAGCAAGAAGAACAGCTTGTGACACCAATTGCAACTAAATATGTAAACAAGCAGCCAAAAAAGAAACAATCAGAATAACAATATATGATTTCCTTGGTACTTAATTACCATACCAACAACAGTTTGGCTAGATAAGAACTCAAATATGTCGTCACTTGCAAGAACAAAGAATGGATGATTATGAGTGTGTTGAGTTACAGAACCTTGATAACAAGGACAATAATCGCAGTTGTACCACTCATGGAATCGTCGATGTCTTAATTGTCGTGGAGTTCGTTGTTAGTTGTGGAGAAAGCGGAGTTGTAAGCTTTTACGGGATCTTCCAACATAACAAAGCGGATTGTAAGAAGAATTTGAACAATTGAAACTAAAAACCTTAACAACGAAATTAAAGAGATGGAAAATAGGTATATATTGAAGTCGATAGTACCTGATTCGATGATGTGAGTGTGCGATAACAGGGGGAAGAAGGAATTGTGCTACGATCAGAATGAAGCTAGATACGGAAGGAAGCTACAACTTGTGTGTGTGTATATGCGATAACAAGGGAAACATCAACTGCAATCAACGATTGGATGCAAAGATCGGAAGCCTCTGAGAAGGGAAGTATCGATCGTGACTTAAGAAGGTACAGAGGAAAACGATTTTTAGCAGAATCGAAGATGGAGAGGGTGAGGGTGTGCGGCCGTTTTTTTCAAAATAATTAGATTAGGGTTTTCTAGTTAAGTAAAGAGAGGGAGAGAGAGAGAGAGAGAGAGAGAGAGAGAGAGATTATAGGAATTTTTATTTAAATAAATTATATGGATTTCCTATTGTAACCTTCTTGCCATTTCAAAGTTACATATTTAGCACATCAGTTTAATAAATGTTCATAAATGGTCCAGTTAATAATAGCCATAGATCTAATTATTTACAAGGTTGTGATCTGTTCTCGCGTTCTCAACCTTTTTGGTGTTCTCGTTTGATCCTACTCCTATATATATATATATATATATATATATATATATATATATATATATATATATATATATATATATAATCAAACAACATGATTTTTTTTTTCAATCAGAAAATTTTTCCAGATAGTCTTTTCCTAAATAGCAACTATGAAACATGACATATATATATATATATATATATATATATATATATATATATATATATATATATATATATATATATATATATATATATATATATATATATATATATATATACTATCCAAGGTTGTAAAAAACGCTCGGCGTTAGCTAGTCGGTGGACTGGGGTTAAGCGATTAATCGGAGGATTAATCGGGGACCATTAATTGCTAATTTGTTGAATTTTAAAAACCTAAATATGACTAATATTATATCAAAGTTCATAAATACCACTAATATTATAACAAAATAGGTTAATATGATTAATACAACACTAATCATGCCTCAAATAGTTTCCATTGAGATAAAACTTCTTCAAAATGTTAAAATTTCATCATTTCATACTATTTCACTCATTATTTATGTAGGGATTAATCGCTAGGCGCCCTCTAATCGGTTGAGTAGCGCCTAGGGATTAATCGGGACCTAGTCGGGATTTTTACAACAGTGATACTATCTTATAAAACAAATCTCACTATTTCTAAAAATAGATTGAATAAAATAATAATATTTTTTAAGACGTCCAAATCGTTAAGCTAATTGTACAACTAATCACTAATAAAATAATATTAAAATTTTAAAAAACTCTTATAAATCTTATCTTCCAAGGTTTTGACCAGATCTTTTTTCATCCAAATAAATACTCAACACCCTATAATTTGGTCATTTCATGAATTTTATTTATTTTTAATATGATATGTTTCCTAAAACAAACTAACGATTGAATTGAAAATAATCATTCTTCATTGAAAAGAAATTAATTATCGAAACAAACTATTTGTCGTCCGCCGCTTTGCGCGGGTAAACGGCTAGTATATATATATATATATATATATATATATATATATATATATATATATATATATATATATATATATATATATATATATAATATAATATAAAAACGTTATTTTTCTCGTTCCTTTAAAATCAAACTTATGGACTTTGTCTCATGCCACGTAACCTATCTTCCAAACGACTCAACCTACAATAGACATGCCCTTTACCTCTCTTTCATAATAAACCCCCATCCGAACGATGCAATTCACGTATATGTCGATTCAATCCTTCTTCAGTATAACCCTTTTTTTCTTGAACCATCTCTAATGCATTGATACGTTTCCAAGTACGCTACGCCACTCTACTCGACATTTGAACGACGACCATCAAATTAGATGGGCACACCCGTTGGGAGATGCTCCGTTTATCAAGTACGTGTTTTTAAAATTTTGGATTCTAATTTTGCTATACATGCTTACGACGTTCAACAAAACCCACAAATTTTGCCCTAATTTGAGATATCAATAGTTTCTCAAATTAACATTTACGGTTTTAATTCTTTTTGTTAAACGATTATATGGGGGCGCTATAGACAAAGTTGCACGTTTGGCAATTTACAAGTTTTGTTATTATTTATCTCTGGTTGGACTTTTACTTTATATTTTTTGGTTCTTACAAACTCAACCACTTTTCCATTTCATTTTAATCCTTACCCTTAATTTATTGCGAAGTTTTTACGATGAAAAGATTAACATTTTCTGGACTTGTCATTTTCATGTGATCTTAGAAGTTTATAGTTTTTAAAGCTCCATTCCTTACTGGAAATGACGGAACAAGATGATCTTTGACTATGTTTGCATAATGAAAAGGGTAAAATATGATGTGTATTCTTTGGTTTATGATCTTGATTCAAGGCCTTAAGGTGATGAAGATTCCTACTCATTGTGACGTGCTAAGCATGACCCATGAATGGTGGTGATTTGGAAAATATATTGTTAAAAGAAATAACAATGCTATTACATGCAAAGAATTCTCATAAGATTTACAGTTCTCAATTTCCATTACCAACTTAGTGACTTACATTGATCATGTGTTTAAAGATGTTCTTGGGTGTTTGTGATTGGTAAATATTTTAGAACAATAAAATGCATCAAACTTTTTGCTTATTTGTTTGTCCTCTGGTCTTTCTTACGTTTGGGTTCTTGGGATGGTTTACTTGGATAAGATGAAACAGAACCCATGTTGGTGGATAATTCAAACTTGAGAAGAGATGTTGCAAGACCAATTCAAGCGCTTAGTTTTAGTCATAAGTCTCAATCAGTTGAATAAAGTGGAAGATTTCTTCTTCCGGTGATTTGAGCTTCGTTTGTTATCTTTTCTAGCTATAAGTAGGTTGCTTTCCTTGCTTGTACTTGGTATATTAACTCGGATTAATAAACAATCATTACTCTACCATATACTCTGTTTCCAACAACCCACATGCCTTTGATCATGATCGAATCTAAGCTCCCAGACATTAAGATTCTTACTCTAAAGATCTAAGATCTGCTTTTGTATGAGACATTAGTGCATAGCCTTGAAACTTTAGTTTGTGTAGATACATATGCTTTCTGCAAGGTTGTAGTGTCT